AGTATTGCTGATGTTTTTTGATGGTGATGTGTTCAATGTTTTTATTGAACATTTTTGTTATTATAAAAAGAAAATATAGGTAAGATATTTTAGTTGGTGTTATTAATGATCATTAACCTAGAAACATTGTGGGGATGTATCCCAAATTTTTGAAGGGAGTTTTAATTTTCACTCTCAATAATACTTTATTAGCCATACTCCTTACACGAATAAAATCTGATCTAAATATAACTAATTTCAATGATTTTTATCATGATTGAATGTTCTGGTTAGTACCATCTCTTCAACAGTCTTTTAAAATGGTCCATGTACTTTTTCAGTGAATATTTTTCATCAAAAAAGCATTTTTGTATGGGTTTAACTCTATTTTTGAGTTAATCTACTGGGATATTTGGCTGAACTGCAACGCAATGGCATTCAAATTTTTTTTGACCATTACAAATTTTTTACCTTTTCTCGTTTTTGACTTTTTTCTCGGCTGTTACTCAGGTTTTCTGGTGGCAGATCATCAAAAATGCATAAACTGGGGGGAAAAATGTCCAAAAACATATTCAAGGGATTAATATCTTTGTAGTGAAAGAGATAATCAGTTACCCTGAAAAAAGTTTGTGTTTTGTGTGCGATCTGCCAAAGAAAAATTACCAAAAAGTAGTCAGCAAAAATCTACATCAATGACTAGAAGCTATGCTAATGTTCTTCCCACCCCTGAAAATTCTCTCAGGGAACAGAAGTTGTTGTTTTTCGCTTATAAAAGGAGATGATTTTTTTTGAGTTTGGTGGAACAAACACGCGTAGTTGTTGGTGAGAAGTGAAGGTTGGATGTGTGACCCCATTTTGTCATTTCTACGTTGTGTGTTGGACTGTTACATCGGACTATCATTTGAACTGCGATTTGGCTACAAGCGTTGCGGCTGAGAAACAGAAGAAATCTATTGCAGTTGCTACTATCAATTGACAGTCTTTTCTTTACTACAACAATCTTTAAAAAGCAATTGGTAGCCACTATATTCTGAAGATGACTCCAAAAAACTTGATAGGTGCTAAATTATCTAAAATATCTTTTCTCATTAAGTGTTTCAGAAGTCTTGTTCATGTTTCTGAGTGTAAGTATAAGTTTTTTGTAGCTTCTATTTTCCTTAAACCTGCCTCATTGCTCTCTTGTTCTGCCCATGTTATTCTTAGTATTCATCTAGAGAACCCTATCTCTATCAATTTAACTCGCTTCTTAATCTGCAAGTGAATTGTCTAGCATTCACTGCCATAGAAAAGGATAGACATGATTTAGCAGTTCAGCACTCTTTTCTTTCTTTCTAATGAAATTTTTCAGTCTTAAAACGTTGCTTACTTTCTGGAAAGTTCAGATCTCTGTGTTACACTTTCCTTCATCTGTTACTACACTATCCAGATAGCTAAATTTCTATACCAGCTTGATTCTGATATTTCCAATTGAAAGTGCATGCCTTTGGCTATTCCTCTTACTGATGACCATACATTGTCTTATAGTTAATAGTTAGTTCTTTCTTCTTGCTTTGCTATTTTCTCTGTGAGATTTCGTAGTCCATCCTCAGCTTGGTTTTATTCATGTAACTTATGTTGTTAAGGTTTTGACTACCAATAATAAATCCTGATGCCTTTTAGTTCTCTTAGGTTCCTCTCTCTATATCAGTTAATTAAATCTTGGAGAAGCCATATCTTTGTCTTACTCCTCTTTTGTTAAACAGTCTTTCTGTAAAGTAGACTCCTCAAGTTCTCTGTTATCACTCTTTCTTGTATTGATGGGAATTTCCTTTCAAACCTTTTGTTTATGGTAGTGTGGAAAGTTGACATCATCATTATATCATTATTTCTCCTTCTAGTTGCAGGTGCTATCCATTTTATTTTTTTTATCATTTCACCCCAAGCAAAGCAATAAAGCTACTAAGACACAAGGAGTTACTGAAAGTGGAAGAAATTAAAAATGTTATTGAAGAGAGAGTGGACAATAAAAGATCAATTTAAGTGTTCAAGTGATGTGGTTTCTGTTATTTGGTCAAGATCTTTGTGGTTTTGTAGGGCCAGCCTGAAGGGTACGAATAAACCCTCCTATGTATAAATAGGATTAAGCTAGATTAATTAAATATAATAAGTGTCAATAGAAATTAATTTTTGTAACAAGTCAAAAATGAAATAAATTGTTACATTTGTGATTATTGTTTATTAAATACAATTCAAATTCTGTCTGTTGAAACACCAGTACCTGTACAATCACTGAAGTTAAGCAATGCTGAACTTGGTCAGTACGTAGATGGGTGACCACTTAGGAATACCAGGTTCTGTAAACTTGGATGTGCAGGTGATGTAACGGATAATAGCTCAAAATTGTTAATTGGAGAGCCGTGTTCCAATTCCAGTCGGGTTCGTTATATTCACTTACAAATATCCTTCGGAAAGGTACAAATCCCCCTCTTCTCCCCCCGCAGCTATCTTGTATCACTAAACCATTGTTATCGCAAAAAAAAAAATTCACAATCTGAAATTACTTTCTGGCTTTAAATAACCTGCAAATAATCAATAGGCAATAGAAAATGAATCAACCAACCAAATCACATTCTGTCTATATCATAGATTTGATCACTTATTTTAACATTCAATGAACACAGACCTGATGTTAAAAACTCTGTTGTCTTTAGACAAATTGGTAAACAGCTTAATGTATAGGACACTTTCAGTTTGTTTGCTTTTCTATCTGAAAAATATTTTAAAATCACAAATGTGGATATAATTTGTAAAATAAGATTCAGCTTTGGTTAAATACCATTTTCCAAAGAAATTTCTTGAATCCTTTATCTTGAATCCTTTGGAACTTGTTAAAGAATTCTCTTTCAGATCCAAACAAATTTATTGTAGATCCTATTAGTGTTACAAAATTTAATTAAGGCAATAAAGACAGACATAATTAAAAGGGAAAAACAACAACAACAACACCAGTAGTTGGCAATATGAATATAAGAGCTCTTTTTTGTTCCTAATTTTGTATTTCTAATGACTAGAGTTGTTGCCCCTTTTAATCATTTCTATTTTTATTGCCTTAAGTTTCTCTTAAATTAGTTCACTGTTTTAAGTTATATGTTTTAAATATTAATTTTTCCTGTATTGTAAAATAAATGTATATTACTATGAAAAGTCAGGAAAAATTAATTGTGTGTGTATATATATATATATATATATATATATATATATGAATTAGTCACTTTCATTGGACAAATAGCCAGAAGCATGTATAGAGAAAGAAAAAACTCTATCAGACAATTTCACTTGAGGCTAAATCTGTATACTCAAAAATATGCAAAAAAATATTGAGAATTTTAAATAAAGTATAAGAGATAAACATTTTCTTCACCATATTTTATTTTTTTATCTGTCTATTCTTTTCATTCTGTGACATGACAACATGGTTATTTACAGTCAGAATAATGTCTTCATCTTCATTGTTACTATCCTTCCTTCAGCCATTGTACCTTGAAGCCTTATTCAGGTTTCTGTCAATCCATGTAACTTTCATTGAATTTTGAAGAGAACCCTTTATTTAATTGATGGGCAGATTGTTCTTGTTCCATTGTCAATGTGTAGGAATATCTTGTTTATTTTTAGTACTACACAATTATTGCTCACCCTGTTTCCACCGATTCTGAATCTTTACTGCCCTGTCCGGCCCAAGGATTGAATTACTACCTTAATCCTCTAGGCTATTGTTTCATGAGGATTTGGTGGCATTGTAATGAAGAGTTCAATCTCTGGGCAGTACTGACTCTTCCTTATTTAAGGAATTTATATTCTAATTTTTTTCCCCCATGTTTTTCACTCCATATCCAGCTCTGGGACTACATGGACATTGACTCACTTTAGTTTGACTCAAGACCACATGATAATTAAGAATAGTATTAGGAGAATAAAAATTGTCCCTCGCTAACATTCTAAGTTGAGATGGGAAACTGTTGACTGAAAAATTAACATTCAAAATACTTTTTACATGATTTTGAACACTGGTCACTGATGCTAGAGGGAAAAAAAATACATCAAAGCCTCAAGTGAGACACAAGTGATTGTTTCCCTGTATTTATGCATTAACTAAAAGCCTTACTTTTCCTTTGCATTGAGACATCAAAACTGTTATGAGCTAAGTTCAAGTTCCTGTCTAGTCTGTTACCTTCACTTCTAAATTCAAGACAATGAAGACACTGGTAAACCACTCCCCTATTCTATCCCCAAAAGACATCACAATTCAATGACGATAATAAAGACGAGTAATCTGGAGAGAATAATAAGCATACACATCCTGAAGGGACACAGCATTTAAAAAAAAAAAATGAAAAATACACAAAAATTTCACAACTGCATCTTGACTTCCCCAACACACTTTGATTCTAACTGCAGTAAATTCTTCTTGTGAAGTTTTTAAGTTGTTATACATTTGGTTCAGAATTCTGTATTACAACTGAGAATTACATATAATAGTAATTTTGAGATTAACCATTTTGTTTAATATTCCTGCCAGTGTTAGTTTCAGGTGTAATTTATAAAATCTTTCTCTTAAAACAATTTTTCAGGAAATTCTCAAGTTTGTTATTGCTTTTTCCTGCATTGATGACATTTCCATCCTGACCTTTTGTTTGAAATAGTGTAGAATGTCAACATTTCGATAATGTCATTATTTTTCATCTAGTTACATGTGTTGTCCACTTTAGTTGTTGCTGTTGTTGAAAGTCCTTAAGCGAAGTGTTTTCTGTTATTTGGGAAAGTTCTTTATGATTTTGTAGTGCTAATCTGTTGGGTTCAATAAAAAATATTCTTAAGACCTACAAGATTCATTAGGGCATTTTTTGTTTTGTTTTTTTTTTTTTTCTCTATGTGTAGAATATGAATATCATGATGAATTTTTTTTTTTTTTTGGTATCATTTCATCATCCTTTCTTTGACATTTTTCTTTCAGTTTTGCTGTTTCTTTGTAATTTTGGGGCTTATAGCCACACCATGTTGAAATACCAGTTCCCATATGATCACTGAAGTTAAGCAACATAGAGACTGGTCAATACCTCGATGGGTGACCGTTTGGGAATACCAGGTGCTGTAAGATTTGATGTGTGGGTGATGTAATGGATAATTGCTCAGAATTGTTATTCAGAAAGCTGAATTCCAGTTCGGTTTGTTATTTTCACTTATGCACAGTTCCTTTGGGAATGCTGTCAATCCACCTCTCCTCTTCCAGCTATGGGTTAATTAGTAAGACACTGAAACCATTATTATCTTCCCCACCCACAAAAAATAAAATAACAATTGCATACAAAATAGTTAGATTTTGGTAATGAATAACTCATAGGAGTTGACATGCTGCAAAAAAAAAAAAAACACAATCTTAGTCATTATTTTTATTTCTGTTTCTTCATCCTCTTTTTCATCATGCCTTATTCTATTCACCTCTTCTTTCTTCTTTTTATCTACTTTTCTTTCAGTCTCTCTTTTTGTTTTCATTTTCTTCTTTCATCTACTGTTTCTGTTTTTTTCTTTCTTTTTTTTTTAATAAAACTTTTTTTTCCTTTTTATCCCCATAGATTTTGTATTATTAATTACCAAAGTTCCAATGTGCATCTTTGTAATTTACAAATAGAATATTTATTTAAATAATTCAGAGAGAACAAAAAATGTACACATTTTAAATGTCCTTTGATGAATTTTTATATGATTGATGAGAAAACAATATTATCATAAAAGACAACAGTGTTTGGGGGGAAAAATATTCCAGTTTTCCCTTATCGTTGATTTTGTTTTAACTCTTTGGTTCATGTCAGTGCTTTGTCTAAAGAAGAAGCAACATTAGTATTTTTCTAATATATATATATATATATATATATATATATATATATATATATATATATATGCGCTACATACATTACAATGTTTTTGTCATTGAATCATGGTTTTCCCTCACCAACGGAATCATTATTGGATCTTTTGGTAGTAAGATGATACTAGAGTCAAGGTATTTTGGAGGGTGACATGCCTATTTTTATAAAGGTTCTTCAATAAGAATACTGAATGTATTATAAACTCAATGGTTATAAATGTAGACATAAATAAGTATTTTACCTATATTCTTTCATCAGATCTTGTAGATTGGTGCAACAGAATCAGAAACTTGATGGATTGATTTGTTTTTTTTACAGCCAATCAACCCTGTGCAGGTTGTTTAAAGCCAGTTATATTCTTTTTTTTGTGTGTGTTTACATATATGTATTTAAAAACACACACACACACACACAAAGAATATTTACTCAAGACCTATTTTCTTACAAATTGTTAAGGCATGAAACAGGTTGTAAATGATTCAGTAAATAAAATGTTACCTTTTATGTGTATTAAAAAGTTCTTTTTAAAATATTTAAAATTGAGCAATACCATATACATAAGAAAAGGCTAATACAAATTATATATATATATATATATATAAAGATCTGTCAGTTGTTGAAAAACCTCCTGAAGAGCGGACTGATCAATTATATAGATATATATATAGTCACTCTACTTTTTTTTTTTTTTTTTTTTTTTTTTTTTTGACAAAAATTCTGCTTGCTTGGAAATATGGTAATCTTAAGTAATTTTATGTTTGATTTTTTTTTTTTTTTTTTTTTTTTTAACCATTTTTTCTTAATCATTTTACCCCAAGCAAGACAATAAAGCCACTAAGACACATGAGGTTACTGAAAGAATCATTATTAAGCATAGAGGGTAATAAAAGAAGGATTCAAGGAGATAGAATGTCACAACATTGCATTTAAATTTTTGAAGATAGTAGTTGGCAGGAAAGCAGCAAAAGCATTCCACAAGTGAGAAGTGCAAGAGAAGAAACTTTTAGCATAGAACTTATGCTTACAACTAGCAATTTCAACAGTGAAATCATGAGACCTAGCTGCCAATCTAGTACTGCACTTTTAAATTTTTAAAGTTGAGTTACCAAACACAAAAGTTAGGTGTTGCTGCTGTACTTTTCATAGCAAGTAGGTTTTTAGGGCAGGGTGTTGCTAGTAATATATCTCAACTAGATTTGTATTCAAAGACTGGTTGCCAATCAGATCTATAGAGGCCAGTTTACCCTTCTAGAAGAAGAGAAAGATTCATACATTTCCAAGCATAACATCCTCAAGGGGAATTTGAATTTGATACATCAGTTCCACTTTCTGCACCAATGACTACATCTCGATAAAATGTGATGATCTGAGCCTGATACAACTTGGGTATTATCAAGTAAAAATAAAAACACAATTAAACACAATATTCAAATTTTTATAAAAAAAAAAAAAAAACTCTATAAAAAAAAACTCCAAATACTTACATATACATACATATGTGTTAGGAAAATTTATTGTCAAAAGGGGAAAAGATTTTTGTGTGATGCATTTCATTCTTTACAACTTCATTTGACCAAAGGACAATACATGTCACAGTTTATCATTAATTTTCTTAACACTGTTCTGATTATATACATACATATATATATATATAATCTGATTTATATATATATATATATATATATATCTCTTTCTGCACTTCTATTGCTTGTGGCAATGAGAAAGTGACTGAAGCTGAGATGCCACGTCAGAAATGATAACATTGCAAATTCTTATTTAGATTTTATCAAGAATCTACAAATGCATAGCTGAAGCTCCAGACCAGATATAACAATAATATTCAAAGCATGCACTAATGGTAGACTTATAAATATGTAAGATAGATTCTGATGAGAAAAATTGTCTATTATGACAGTGAACCGACTTTCTTAGCAACAAATCTAGTGATTGGTTCAATATAATCTTTACATTTCATGTCAGTGGAAAATGTTAGCAGAAGAAGGCACTTTGGAAGTATTAAAATTAACATGTCATTTCTTGCACCAGTTAACAACATATTGTCAGTCATTTTTTTAGATCAGCTGCTAATTTTACCTTATCAAACTTACTATCAAGATGGGTAAATACTTATGTCATCAGCATAGATAATGAGTTGAGAACTGATGACATCAGGAAGGTTATTGATTAAAATTAGGGACACTGTAGATCCAAAGATAAGAGTTCTGTGGAACACCTGTATTAATACAAAAAGATTTAGAAGTGTGGCCATTCAAGACAACTTTCATTTCATGATTTGATAAGAAAGATTGAATGAGATGAAAAATTAGTCTTCTTTAAAGCTTGTTAGACTCTGCAATAATCATTAATACATCAGCAGTTGACCTAGAGAAGTGAAATCCATATTGCTTGTCTGAAAAAAGACACTGCAAAGTGAGATGCTTAACTAATTCAGAGTTGATTAGAGCCTCTAGTACTTTGCTAAAAAAAGAGGTAGAAGTTTAATTGACTGATAGCAGGATCAGATGGTTCTCCAGTATTACCATCAAGTCCACATGCTTTGTGGGGATCCAGTTTAGAAATGATAGCAGAAATCATGGCCAGTGTTATATGCATATCACTCAATAGAGACTCGGTTCTGAGTGGAAAGTCTGTCAAAAATACTCTAGATGGGTGAAGAGTAGAATTGGAAGCAAATTTACAAGCAAAACATTCTATTTTATCAGCAGATCTTAACCCCTCCAATTGGGTGAAGAGAAGAAGGATAGAAGACTTATTTATGACACTGTTACAGAGCTGCCAGTATTCACAAAAACCAAACTTGTTAGAGGTGACTCATTCTGTCAACAAACACTTAACCTCTTTGAAGACATTTACAATTATTACAGGCAAACAGAAAGAGGGTTTCTGTTGTGATGGGAACTATCATGCTGGTATAACCGGAAAAAGTAATTCCTGTGGGTTATATTAGCCAAACAAGCAGGTATAAACTAAGTAGAAAATTGTGGCATTTCTGAGAAGGTACAAAAGCATTGATACTGTTAAGTAACATGTGGCACAATTTTCAATAGAAATATCGGCCTTTTCCACATTTTCTAGAATTGTTCCCACGGCCACTGAATTTTTTTTTTTTTTTGAGGGGGAAAAACATGAACACCTACAATTTTAAAATTTTTATAACTTTCTTTATATTGTGCATATAGATTTTAATTTTTGTACACTACTAAAAGAATGAATGAGTAATATTTTGATGTAATGTATTATGTTTTGCATACATGTTTTGACATTGAAAACAAAAAATTGAAATGCAAAATAAAAAACAAATACATTAAAAAATATACAAATAATTCAATATACTTTAACTTTTATTACACCTTGTGGAGTTCTGGGGGTGCAATAAGAAGCAAAATCGCCAAGAAGGCTTTTTTGTCAAAAAAGTGATGTGTCTCTCCATGTTTACATATGAGTAGACACTAGCATTTGTTTGCACTTTCTTTCACCTGACGAATGTTTATTTGTCTCATTGACAAATAAAGTTATTATTTTGTTGTTTATAAATAGAAAATTCACCTTCAGAAAGACATCAGATATATTAATGGTCACCAGTAGTTTCTATAAAATTACTCAGGCATGGATAATAGTAGCTGCTAGTGGTGTTGTGGCCTGTTAGGGGTCAGAAAGAAAGACATGTAAAGAAGAAGGTAGGTTGAACAAGTGTATTGAAATAACAGAACATATATACAAAATAAGAGTGTTATTAGTCAGCAGATAGAAGTGTCAGTCCGTACTGTTAGGTTACACTGCGTTTCGACTGCCTCTGCTTAGGAAGTCTTGCAGGTTAGTATTTATGAAGGAGGAAGAGTTTATTCTAATGTAGATAGGTCATCATAACAAGTGGTCATTGTCGCTTTCCTCTTTGTCACTAGAGTGGCTATCATCTCCAACCACTTGAGTAAAGCCTTCAAAATCATCATTGGAGTGTTAAAAAAAAAAAACTCCTGAATAAAGGCTTTGTTGCATATTGACACGGGCATTTTTGTTTACAAAAAAACTCGCAAAAGAAATTAACATGGGTTTAATTGATGTTACACCTCGTGTAGAGTCTAGAAGAATTCAAAATGGCATTGGAAAATGGATGTTTAGCCTTGTTTCAAAGTAGTAGGCAATTTCCAACTTAAAATACCAGAAATAATAGTTGACAAGTGTTTATTTATAGCAACCATCTCAGTTGACAGAAGTCGTCGATAGTATTAAGGGAGAGAATTCTATGGCAACTATTGTTGCCTGCAGAGTGTTGAAAAGGTTAAGGATCTCCATCCAAGAGACGTCTCAAAGAAAGTCACAAAATGAATCCTAATCAGTAAACTGATAATAGAAAAAAAATCTTGTGAATAGGAGGCTCCTTTCTAACAAAAGACCCAAAAGAGATATCAACAGATCCTACAGTATTATCAGAATTGGCAAGAGGACAGTTACAATGTTTGGCAAGAGCTAGGAGAGTGGGGGGGGGGGGATAAAGGATGAATCAAGAAGCTTGTTGATCAGAATTATTACTGAAACAATAAGGAAATCTGTGATTTGACTAAGAGACTGAGCAACGGAAAAATTGAAAGTCCAAATACCAGCAACATCAATAACATTAGAATGTTTAAGCCACTTGACATAACGAGCATTAGAATCCCCAAATGCAAAAATGTTCACAGATAAATATAGAGAGAGATCAATTTCTGTAATGTCAGAAATTTTGTCATGAATGTTAATCTTGAGAAGGGGAGGGATAAAGGGTGAAAAAAAAAGTGTTTTTTAACCTAACAGGGTATTGAAATCCTCACAATATTTAGTATTGTTGAAGTTATCGCTAACATTTTTGGTCAAGATTTACACAATCTACGTTTCATTCAATTTCACAAACCAATCCGTCTAATGTGAATAAACTGATTTGTTTGGAAAAATATTTTAACAAAAACCCTATTTCGTGGTTTAATAATCTTTTTAATTTAATTTTATAGGACTTCATGGTAAATAACATTTTTTAAGAATTTCATTTTTTCCTTTTTAAACAGCAACGAATATATTCTTAGGATTTCTTACTCTTGAGCATGCAACTGGCCATGCATAAATATTACTTTCTGGAGCCAAATATTTGGCCTTGTGATTTGTTTATAGTTCATGCAAACTCAGGGCAAAATGGATTCTTGTTTTTAAAAAAAAAAAAAAAAAAAATTGGTGTTTGCAAAGTTATGAAAACACCTAAAATGTAATCAAAATTGAATTGTTTTCACTTGAAAACAACCGATTTCAGTTAGTTTAGGCAAATTACATAAAGAACATTTAAAAAATTTAATACTGTACTTTGTACCCACTTACCTGTTTGTATTTCTCCCCAAATTTTGGTTTCGATTGGTAAATATATGGCTATTTTAGAGGTTATGACGGACAGACTAATGAAAGTCACAGAATTTTATATATAGTGCCATGTTTGTTCCCTGATTTCAAAAAGGTATTTTAAATAGATTCGACAACATAAAAATAGATGCTTTAAAGTTGTCATAAAAATTATTTACTTATTTTATATTTCTCTCTTTTGTAGATGGCCTTTAACGAAAGGAGCTGGCATATGTGCGGCTAGTACAGTTGTTTCCGGTGTTCTGACCAACAACCATTTCCGCAAGCAATTCAACCTAAGGTATTTTGGCCGGACCAGTGGCTACCTCATGGTTGTTTGTGTACCTACCATTGTTACCTTTCTTCTACATACAACCCTTGTTACGAGGAGGATTCTTGTTGCTGACTTTACTTGTCCTACTTGTCTGCTAACAAAATCCTCCATCTTACAAGCCCTCAATGGGGCTGTCTACCCAAGTGTCATCAGCCCGATCATGTGCATCATCCAAGCCAAAAAATATCTTACTTCTCCTATCGAACCAACCAAAAGGATAGGAGATACTGTTAAGGTTATAGCCCGGACGGCTATTCCTTTTAAAGGCTTTATTCTTTTGTCCATCTTATCCAATATGGCTGTCGGAATGTATATAACACGGTTGGAAATGGACACTTTCCTTAATGTATTAATGAAAAAAGATAAAAATAAAGAGCTGGAATAAAAAAATTCTGTCACCTAGAAAATAATTATAAGCTAGAAGATATTTACAAGTAATTTGTGTGTTTATTTTACATTATTTTATGGTACAGCATTTTAAAGCTTGCTGCTTCGGATATTGAATGTCAGCTTATTTTCTCAATGTCGAATCTGATTTTTATTACGGATTTAAAACTGTCATTATAAAAAGCATATATATACATATATATATTGGTAGGTTTGTCTGGCTCTCTAGGTTTAAGTAGGTCTGCTTTACTTACTGTATTGAGCACTTTTAGTTATTTTGCTTACTCATATCGGGGTTTTTTCTTTGAACTCGTATGCTGGACGATTATTTTCCGCTAATGTACATGTTCTTGGTTCTTTCTTTTTTTTCCCTTTGGTATTGGCTTGTTTATTTGCAGATCAAGACACCGAAGGTTTTCTGGATGAATATAATTTCTTATACTTATAAGATTATTATTACTACCAATATATATATATATATATATATATATATATATATATATATATATATATACACACACACATATATACACAGTTAAAATAAATTCCCCTTCAAAAAAAAAAAAATAATAATTATGACTCACTGTAAAGTGGCAAATTGAAATATAACAAAAATAAGAAACAACAAAGAAATACCAGCTGGTTATTGCTCCTCGCTCTTCAGAGCTCAGCTAAAGATAAAACATAAATATGAGCCCAACAACTAAAATAAAGTTTGGTGAGGAGGAGGTACTACCAGAGAATCAGCTGGTTGTTGTGTCTAAAAGTTAATTTGTCTGCGATTTATACTGCTGATACTGTGGTAGTAATTTTTTCTTTCTTTTTTGTTTAATCATTACACACACACACATGTTTTGTCTTTGATTGAGTACTGAAGAGTGAGGAGCAATAACTGGTTAACCACTGTTATATTTTATTTTTTGTGGTATTTTTTATATTCACAACTTTAGTAATTTTTTTTGCTTATCTTTGTTCTTCATTTCACTTCTTCACAATGTGTGTATCTATCTATCTATCTATCTATCATGCTGGACTCTCTTGTTTGTTTATCAATGTATGAGGGTCAAACATCTCAGTTCCTAGGAACCAACAGCCAGACACCAGCACATTTGAGTATAGTGGTGAAGGCTTTGTGCAGAACCAACCACTTATTTTGAAGTGCTGAATACAGTGCCCTATGTGCCACAAGGTCCCCAAATGGCTCTTCACAGGTTTTGAATTCAGAGTCGTCCTTCTCCTAGACCAGTTGCCACTCAAGGCTATAGAACCTAGTCTGTTCTACTATTTACCCATAGCTGGAGGGGGAAGAAGAAAATTCATTCTTTTTTAGCACATAAGTGAATGTAATGGATTCAACTGGAATTTGAACTTGACTTTCCGATTCCTCAATCCAAGTCACTATCCCTCCTATATATATATATATATATACAAACACACACACCTTTAAAATGTCTGTTTTAAAACCCTAATAAAATGTTGTAGCCCCAAGGATTATTTAATTTGATATTTCTTTTCAACATGTAATTTAGGGTTTTGTTTTGTTTTTTTTATTATTCATTTCATCCCATGCAAGGCAGTAGAGCCACTAAGACACAAGGGGTTACTGAGCATGAAAGAATAATAAAAAAACAGAAACATTATTAAGGAGCTAGAAGAATAAAAGAAGAGTAATCAAGAAGACAGTAGATAATGATTGACATTACAATTAAATTTTTGGCTGGAAAGCATTGAACTGAGAGTTCCACAAGCAAGAAGAGCAAGAAAAAAAAACTGTTAGCATAGAACTTATGGCTACTTCTAAGCAATTCAGCTGTGAATGCATGAGACCTTGCTGCCAATCTAGTACTGCACTTCAATTCTTAATGTCTAGGTACCACAGAGCCAAGTTCATAAGAAAAATTACTGTTAAAGTATTTATAAAAAATGAACAGGGAAGCAACCTTATGGCGGTAGGAAAGTGACTGATCAAGATGCCAGGTCAGGACAAATAATATTGCTGATTCTTCTTTGGATTTTATCAAGAATCTCTAGATATATAGCAGGAACACTAGAGCATATGTGGCACCAATATTCAAAACATGGATAAATAGTATGCTTATATGTATCATTCAGGAGAAAAAAAATTGTCTGGCATCATACAGTGAACCATCTTTCTTCACAGCAGAACCAGCAATGAAGTGAATATAATATTTCCACTTCATGTTCGATGAGAATATAAGCTCAAGAAGATGCTTTGATGGTTTTTCCATTAATTTGGTCTTCTATTGGTAAGTCAGGCCCTAAAACCTTATTTAGCAACCAGTCTACTGCAGAAAGAAATGGCAGCCTACTGTAGGAAATCTTCTGTCTAGTTGGTCATGAATTGAAAGAGACATGATCGCCCAAGTGTATATCATGTATGGCACTTCACTTGACTATTCTGAAGAAGATATTAATGTTCTTTTTGTACTATGTGGTTTCTGCCACTTGCTGCTGAAACTGATCAGTTTTAAAGTGAAAAAATATTGTTTCAAGTTACAATAGTATATATTAATTCATTCATAATATATTTGTTTCCTATAATCTTGCATATTTCCACACCACTTCAAACAAAAGGCTGGGAAGGAAACTCCTGTCAATGATAGAAAGAGCAATAACAGTTAATGTACTTGAGAAACCATTTTTTCCTGAAATATCCTGTAAGAGAAAGATTTCGTAATTTTCAACCGGCAGTAACACTGTTCGGTCAATGAACACTGTACAAGAAAACTGCTAATCTGACCACTGGCATTGGCTTATACACAAGTGTACAAGCTGTGTAACTGTTTGGAACTATTGAGAATTCCTCATCTCCTAAATCTGTTTGTTCTAATAAAAGAAGAAACATTAAAAAAATACAAATTACAAGTATATAGCATTTGAATTTATTAATAAAATCTGTATTTGCATAAAAATCTATAATGAAATTAAAAAATTTAGACAATAGCAATGCATCGACCAAAATAACTTTATATATTTCTTGGCCAGCCTGCTTTGTACCTGATATAGCTGCATGGAGGTTACTGTTTGAGCCCAGAAGGTAGCCAGGATTTCAAATGCTGATTTTCAAGGCAGATTATCTCTTAAAAAAAATTGGTACAATAAATCAATAAATTTTTTAAGTAGATAGCTTGCTTATATTTTTGATTTAAGAACATTTTTAGTTTGAATATCCTCGTAACAAAAATGAAATCTTTGTAGATTAACTCTGCACATCTGGCATTTTTGGACCATTTTCTCAAATGTTATGGGCAATATCTAGTCTGAAAGTAAACCAGTTCTGACATCTTGAGACTGTCTAACTGCAGGTATTTGTCAGGTTATAACTATTTGAACTTTATCCAAACTCACATACATTTAAAAAGACAATCCTTAGATGATCAGTTCTTAATTCTCATTTTACAAGTCTCTTTTTGGAATCTTGTTGAAATAAACATAAATGACAGTCAAGCTAAACTTGACATTCTTTTTCAAAAATGATTCAATGGATTTTCAGATCCTACAGTATAAAATTCAATCAAATTAAAATTCTTTCAATATATGCTGATGCCAATTGACTTTTTTTTCTGCTAATAATTGTATGTTTTTATTCAGGTAAATAATTAAAGATGAATTTTTAAAAAGCATTTCTTTGACTTGGTTTTCCACTCACTCTTTTTTTGTAGATTTCTTTATAGGATTTGATTTCATTTGTTCATGGGTTGTGCATTAGAAACAAATGCACACCATTGATCTTTTGTTTCCTGTATCTGTTTCACACATTAATATTCTTTCTTTTCCATTTTATGTGGCACCAACTATTGAATGTTTTTTGTTTTGATTTTTAAATCATTTCACCCCAAGGTAGTTTAGATTCTAACACAGAATGTGAGGAAGACTAAGAAAAAGAGAAACATTATTAAGGAGCGAGAACAATAGAAGAGTAATCTTGACAGAAGATAGCAATTGACATTGCATTTAAATTTCTGAAGATCAAGGCAGAAAATGATTAATCGTGATTTAGTTTTGAAGGCATGAAAATTAACAAGCCATTCCTTGCACCAGTTAACAGAATGTAGATCATTTTTAAGATCAGCTGCCAATTTGACCTTCTCGAACTGATCAGACTTACTGTTGAGACAGGAGTAAATGGTTGTGTCATCAGCATAGACACCAAGTTGAGAGCTGTTGTCATCAGGAAGGTCACTGATGAAAATTAAGAACAAAGCAGGAGCTAGAATAGAACATTGATAAACACCTACATCAATACAAAATGATCTGGAAGAGTGGCCATTCAAGATAACTTTCATTTCTCAATTTGATAAAAAAGACTGAATCAGTTCAAAAATTTATCTGGAAATGATAACCTTTCAACATTCTTCACCGTTCTTACATAAAGCTTAATAGTAATAAGCATTAGTACATCAGCAGTTGAATTAGAGAATTGAAAGCGATATTGCTTATTTGAAAGAAGGCTTTGCGATGTGAGATGCTTAACCAATTCAGAATTGGCCTCTAGTGACTTGCCAAAAAGAGGGAGATGATTAATAGGCTGATAGTTTTGAAGGGTCAGATGGTTCACATGAGTTCTTCAAGACTAGAAAAAGAGAGGAAGATTTCTAACAAGTAGTAAATGAAGAAGTACTGAGGCATTTACTGTACAGTTTAGAGAGAACAGGGGCCAGTTTCAGAGCACATTTCTTAAGGGCTATTGCAGAGATACCATCAGGTTCACATGTTTTGAGGGGATTCAGATTAGAGATGATAGCAAAAACTATGGTAGGAGTTATATGCATATCACTCAACAGAAAATCAGTTCTAAGTAGAAAGTATGGCAAAGACTCTCCAGATGTGTCAAGAATAGAGGTTAAGAAGAATTTAGGAGCAAAACATTCTGCTTTATCAGCAGAAGATGTTAACACCTCAAACTGAGTGAAGAGAGGAGGAATAGAAAACTTTTTCTCATTTAATATACTATTACAGAGCTGCCAGTAGTCACAA